TTATTCATGCACAGAAATGTACTGGAACGTGGTAAAAAGGCATCAAAAACATCACAAATGCACTGGAACACCTCAAAAAAAACACAATGACCCCAAAATGAACCAACAAAAAGGAGGACAACAATAAACTGGAATGAATCAAAAACGCATCAGGATGCGTAAAAAGCGAGCATGCAGAAAATGCATCCAGACTGCGTTTCTATAGTGTGAACCACCAGATGTAGTCCAGTGAGTTTTTTTTTTCCCCCAGCATCAAAAATTCAAGCACAGTGCTTTCCATGTATTCCAATGGACCTAGTTCATACCAGTGCAGTCAGTTTCTGCTGCAGAAAATAAAAGAAGAACATACTGCATTTTTTTTCCTGCACAGAACTGTACTAGAACACAGCAAAATGTAGGAAAAATGCACGGAAACAGTTAACACCACGAAAATGCACTACGGATACATTTTTTCTTACAGTTCACAACATACTCTGTTCTGGAGTAGTGTGTTATGTTCCAGTACAGTTCTTTGCAGAAAAAAAAAAAGAAACAAAATGCAGCATGTTCTACATTTTTTCCTGCACCAGAAACCGACTGCACTAGTGTGAATTAGAGCTATTGGAATACATGAAAAGCACAGTGTAAATATTCCAATGCAATAAAAAAAAAAAAAACACTTTACTGTAAGCAAAAAAGGCACCTAGAACATGTTCGGAAGGATGTTTTTTGTGGTGTGAACTGGCCCTGAACCTTACTTCTTAGTTTCTATGTACATGGGACGTTTGGAAAACACTTCTGAAAAATGAAAACTGACTGCTGGAAAAACTTAGGTTAAAAAATGCCTGTTTAGCCACGTTTGCATACCACATTTAGAAGCGGATTTTAAAGATAAGATCAGGAGACCTTCCAAAATGACTAGAATGCACTGAAAACAGTAAAAAAAAAAAAACACAAAAAAAAAAAAAACACTGTTTCAGACATTTTGAGAGAAAGAGAGAGCAGAAGCAGAAAGAGCAGTATGTGTTGAGATTACCTATCTTTTCTGGTTGTATTCACTATGGATCCCATCATGAGCATAATGCAGCACCATTTTTTCCTTCCGGCAAAACCTGGACCTGACTGCGCTGGTGTGCTAGGTCCATTTGAATACATGGAAAAACACATTGCATGCATTTCTGATTATGAAAAAAGGCTCTGGACAGCATTTGGATATGGAACAGTTCAAAAACGCTTCTAAACGTAAATGCACATAAACACGGTTAGCCGCTTTTAAAAACGTTTGGAACGCTGATAAAATCTACTCCTGAACGCAAGGTTGGTGCATTAAAAAAAAAAATGACTGTAAACAACATAGTGTACATGGACACATAGGAAAACATTAGGGAGAGTTCAGGGGCTGCTGAAAAAAAACAAACAAAACAAACCACCACACATGCATTTTTGCTACATTTTCCCTGCATAACAATAGACACTGTCTCCTAGCAACATCAACACATAGCTTGCAATTTACCAAAACACATTAAAATGCATCAAAGACACATGGGGAAAAAAACAAAAACACAAATAAACCACACTGAGAAACAACTACACACGCATAGATTTGAACTTAGCCTAACAGTGTATTGAACAATCACTGGACCCATGACAAAGATCCCCATACATTCAACCATCATGATGTGATCAGGGGCATATTTACCACAAGGCAAACAAGGCATTTGCCTAGGGCAGCATTTTTTAGGGGGGCAGCACCATCCCCCAGAAGGAATAGAAGAAGGGACACATGCTGCATGGGGACCAGGTGGGATCTGAGAGAGGCGGCGGGCTGCTTCATGATGTATATTATTATATTATACAGTATTTATAAAGCGCCAACAGTTCGCTAAGCGCTGTACATTACAAAGGGAGACAGAACATGAAACAGTACGAAAACAATACAATGTGATACACGAGGGGTTCGAGGGCCCTGCTCTTTCGAGCTTACAATCTAGGAGGGAGGGGACAGTGGTACAGGAGGAGATAGCTGTGGGGAATGGAGTGGTAAGAAGAGTGGAGGAGGTCGGCAATTAGCAGGGGGTGGGGTAGGCTTCCCTGAAGAGGTGGGTTTTCAGGGTGCGACTAAATGAGAGGAGAGTAGGTGATAGTCTGATGGATTGGGGTAGGGAGTTCCAGAGGATAGGTAATGTCCTGAAGAAATCCTGGAGGCGGGCATGGGAGGAGGAGACCAGGGAACTAGAGAGAAGGAGGTCTTGAGAGGAGCGGAGTGTGCATGTTGGGTGGTACTTGGATATTAGGTCAGTGATGTAGTTTGGGGCAGTATGATGGACAGCTTTGTATGTCAGGGTTAGGATTTTGAATCTGATCCGTTGTGCAATCGGAACCAATAGAGGGATTGGCAGAGGGGGGTGGCGGAAACTGTGCAGTTGGTGAGGTGAATGAGTCTGGCTGCCGTATTCAGGATCGACTGAAACGGGGATAGCCTGTGGCGAGGCAGGCCAGTGAGGAGGGAGTTGCAGTAATCAAGTCGTGATATGATGAGGGAGTGGATGAGCGGTTTAGTGGTTTCTGGGGTTAGGAACATGCAGATTTTGGCGATGTTGCGGAGGTGGAGTCTGCATGAGTTTGTTAGTGATTGGACTTGGGGCTGGAAGGATAGGTTGGAGTCCAGAATGACACCAAGTACTCTGGCCTGTGGGGCGACCCTGATAGTGGCATTGTTGGACGTGATGGAGAAGTTAGTGGGGGGTCGTGTGCGAGCTGGGGGGGGGGGGGGGGGGGGAGACTAGGAGCTCAGTTTTGGAGAGGTTCAGTTTAAGGAAGTGGAGGGACATCCAATCTGATATGTCGTTTAGTAGGTTTGTGATTCAGGCGAAGACAGAGGGAGTGAGGCGAGGGGTAGAGAGATAGATTTATGTGTCGTCGGCAAAGAGGTGGTAGTTTAAGCGGTGAGAGTGTACGAGTTGGCCAAGGGAGGAGGTGTAGATGGAGAAGAGAATAGGCCCAAGGACAGAGCCTTGAGGGACCCCAACAGAGAGGGGGAGCGAGGGGGAGGTAGTAGCGTTATAGGTAATGCTGAAGGAGCGTTGGGATAGGTAGGACGAGAGCCAGGAGAGAGCATTATCTCTGAGGCCGAGGGAGTGTAGTTTTTTGAGGAGGAGGGGGTGGTCGACTGTGTCGAAGGCAGGGGAGAGGTCGAGGAGTAAGAGCACTGAATAGTGGCCATTAGCGTTGGTGGTTAGAAGGTCGTTGGAGAGTTTAAGTAAGGTAAGTTTCGGTGTAGTGTAGGGGACGGAAGCCTGACTATAGGGGATCGAGGAGGTTGTTGTCGTTGAGGCGAGAGCTTAGGCGGGTGTAGACTAAGCGCTCGAGGAGTTTGGATGAGAATGGGAGATGGGTCTGAGGTTGTTCGGGTCATTGGGGTGCAGGGAGGGCTTTTTAAGTATGGGAGTGATGTGTGCATGTATGCAGGGCTTCCCGGGGATTGTGAAGGTGAGTTCCTTCTCTCTCGCTGGGGTGGCCAGTGTATGGGGGGGGGGGGGGGGGGGGTGGTAGTAGAAGGCTCTTGGTTGGTGGTGGGGGGGGGGGGCTGGGGTGTTGTTGGCCAATGTCAGGCTCTCCTCGTGGGCGAGGGGGGTGTTGGTCGGTGGCAGGGTCTCTCCGTGTGTGTGTGTGTGGGGGGGGGGGGGGGGGGGGGGCGATATTTGTGTTGCCTAGGGCAGCACAAAACCTGAAAACACCACTGGATGTGATCACTGCAGAGCTCCACACTGACAGAGCACTCAGCCGTCATCCATGGACAGGACGCTTACTATTCTGTTTAGTTGGTGATCGTTACAAAGTTAAATCTTCTTAGTAATGTATTTAAGTCATAATATTGTGGACAGTTACGGAATGTTTAAATCAGACCCCGTGCGAGCGTTAGAATGAACCCAATCACGGAGATCAGTTCCAGACCCCGCTCCGTAACACTTCCATCAATTCACGGCTTTATACAAGCAGTCATTATAAAGCCGGGTACACACGAGGCAACCCCCCTGACAGGGTGAACGGTAGCGGCGATGGAACCCCTCACACCTCAGAGTGCCCGAACACTGACCTCACCTCTACCTTAACCGATCTCCAGGACAACAACCCTCCGCGGCCGATCAGCACTCAGTAATAACAGCCTTGAGTCAAACTCAAACTTCCTCGCAATCTCATTGGCTTATGCTAGCACATGGGCGTCACCTCTTCCAGCCAACCCGCTAGCGAAAGAGGCTTCAGCAAAAGAGCTTTCTTTTCTCTTTGTAACAACTTTATTAACAATGCGATCTGACCTGTGCTTATTTTCAGAATAGAAGGCTGTGTAGAATGTAAGAAAGGAAAGGGTAAAATACAAGTATGCTTCTAGGAACATTAACCACTTGCACTCCTGAGGATTTACCCCCCTTCCTGACCAGGCCATTTTTTGCATTACGGCGCTGCGTTATTTTACTTTGGTGGTATATGATTGTCTATGATTGTTTTATAGCGCAAAAAATAAAAATATGGTCATGCAATGCTGCACCCAAATGAAATTTACATCTTATTTCCCCCCACAAATTGAGCTTTCTTTTGGTGGTATTTGATTGCCTGTGCGTTTTTTATCTTTTGCGTTATGAAAAAAAAAAGACCGACAATTTTGAGAAAAAAAACAATTGAGTACTGTCCGTGATACTTTTTGTATTTGCACTAACATACAATTTTGAGGACAAGCTTTCGGAGAATGTCCCCTTCTTCAAGGTCTAAGCAGTACTACTCACAAAGTTAGCAGAATGTTAGTAGAGATGAAAGAAAAAAAAAAGAAAAAAAAAAAGGAGGCTAGAGATAAGATGCAGTCAAAGCGAGGGGGGAGGGGGGGGGAACAATATATTTTACTTTTTGCTATTAAACATGTCCAGTAGAAAAATTTAAAAAATCAAATTTTGCCATACATTTACACCAAAATGTATTTTGCTAAATATCTTTTGCTAATAGCAGGACTGCAGCAGGCATTCTGACACTGGGGGGGGGGGGGGGGGGGGGACTGACTTGGTGTCACTGACATCCCCAGTGACACCAATACAGTGATCAGTGCTAATAAAAAGCACTGACACTGTACTAATGGCACTGGGCAGGAAGGGGTTAACATGTGGGGTGATCAAAGGGTTAACTGTGTGCGTTTTACTGTGTGCTGTGTCTGTGTGCTTCACTGTAAGCACATTGCTTTGCATAGCTCTGCTATGCAAAACCATGCATAGCAGTGTGCAGGATCTGACGGTAGAGAACTGTATTGTTTACTTACAGTTCTCTCCCTCCGTCAGTAATGCCCTTCGATCACCGGGTGCTGGCGAGTAATCACCGGCTGGAACCCAGTGATTGACAGTTGAGGTCACAAATAGCGGCGCGGGTGGGGTGCACGAGCAACTCGCGCGTGCCCCCTACCCAGATATGGTAAATCACATATATACACGTGATTTTGTGCACCCGTGCCACCCTATAGTAGTAGTACTACTATTGGGCAGACAGAAGCTGTTAATACTGCCTTCCACTACCCTGCCGGCCTCCCTCTAAAAATGTCAGTGGTTTGCCTGTCGTTCTCATCCTCCAAATTCATTGAGGGGTATTTAGGAAAACTGGAGAAGCTGTTCATGGCAACCAATCAGCTTTTATCTTTAATTTTGTCGAGGGATAATTTTTGCCTTTGCAGCCTAAGGGACTATTCACACTAGAATGAAAAAAAAAGATTGGCTAAACCCCAAACTGCTTTTTCATCACTAAGGGGTCAACTTACTAAGAGACAAATACCACATGATTGTTTGCATTAAAATATCTCATGCGGTATTTATCTGAAAGGTAATCAATTCCCTAAGAAACATTTACAAAATTAGTTAAATATGTTTTGCAATATTTATTCACTTAAATTCAAATAATATTTTTGGCATTGTTTATTCATAATTTTTTTTTTACATGCATCAGAGGAAAAAATAAAAGCACACAGAAATATGAAACTGTAAAAACATTCTCATGTGCTTTCATTCACAGAGCCATCTCCCTCAGGTGAAATTTTACCATTTATTTTCATTCCTGAGCTCAGGGCAGAACATTTCCACACGGCTACATTGTATACTATTCATTTACTGACCAGTGCAGAGTTCCCTGGTTCACATATATGCGAATTGGATGTGTTTTGAACCAAATCTGCTTTGCATGACATGTGAACCTGCTGCCTTTTCAAGGGAGCCGGTTCACATACAGTGAGGAAAATAATTATTTGATCACCCGTAGATTTTGTAAGTTTGCCCACTTAAAAAGAAATGCAGGGTCTATAATTTTTATCATAGGTGTATTTTAACCACTATGGGATCACCCACAGTACATATACTGCAGTAAAGCGGCCCCTGTGCGCAGCATCACATTTATAAACGTCATCCTGTTTACATGTTAGGGGCACAAGCAAGGTGCGCGACCGCCCTACCCGTGGCGCCAATCGCAGCCACGGGTGTTACTCACCGAGTCCTGGCTGCTGATTACCCGCCAGAGCCCGGCGATTGCCGGCAAACACTGACATGGAGGAAGGCTGCATTGTGCAGCACACACCCCTGTGTGCTGTGAAGCACACACTCCTGCCCCCTAGTAAAACAGTCCCCTCACATAGTTAACCCTTTGATTGCCTAAAAATGTTAACCCCTTCCTCCCCAGTGCCATTAGTACAGTGTCAGTGCTTTTTTTTTTGCACTGATCACTGTATTGGTGTCACTGGGGATGTCAGTGACCCCAAGTCGGTTCCTCCCCAGTGTCAGAATGTCCGCCGCAGTCCCGCCATAAGTCGCTGATTGCCGCCATAAGTTGCTGATCACAGCTATTATTAGTATTAAAAAAATCCAGTATCTATACCGCCATTTGTAAACACTGTAACTTTAACATAAACCAATTAATTTACACGTATTGGGATTTTTTTTTTTAGCAAAGACACGTCACAGAATACATTTTGGCCTAAATTTATGACGAAATTTGATTTTTAATTTTTTTACTGGATATGTTTTATAGCAAAAAGTACAAAATATTGTTTATTTTTCTCAAAATTGTCAGACTTTTTTTTATAGCGCAAAAAATAAAAAAAGTACAAGCGATCAAATACCACCAAAAGAAAGCTCAATTCATGGGGAAAAAAATGACATAAATTTCATTTTAGTGCAGTGTTGCATGATCCCGCAAATGTCAGTTAAAGTAATGCAGCGCTGTAACACAAACCGCTTCTGTAACCGCTTCCTGACCGCCCTATAGCAGAAATACTGCTACAGGGCGGCACAGGTGTGCAAAAATCACATATATATACGTGAATCATGCTCCCGTGGTTTTCACGCCCCTCCCAGATAGAGTCAGATTGCCCATTGGTACACCAGTCATCACATTTAACCCCTTGATTGCCAGGAACACGCTCATACACAATAAACCTTCATTGCTAGTATAGTGTCTGAACGGATCAATATCTTTGACCAGATCAGCAGTATACCAGCATTCACATTAGTATAGCATCCCCAAAAATGCAGCGTTAGCGGGATCAACCCTGGCACCTGCCAGCACCTGCGTTTAGCCCCTACACTTACCCCCCCCCCCCCTTCTCCCCCAGCAAGTGCAGTGTCAGCAAGTCACTTGATACATTGCACACAAAACCGCAGTGTTTACAGAATCTGACCTGATCTCTGTTAGCACTTGCTGGTAAATATTGATGTCTCCTCATATGCAGCAGAGTGCCAGTACTAGTGCCACGCTACCTTTTGGTGAATTGGTGAGCACTAGTGGCCTAGTACATCCTGGTCTTTCACATACCTCTTAGATTGTAAGCTCCCAGGATCAGGCCCTCCTAACCCTCTTGTATTGAACTGTATTGTTGCTGTATTGTCTCACTTTGTATTGTAAAGCACTGAGCAAACTGTTGGCACTATATAAATCCTGTATAATAATAATAATACCAGCACTGCAGTATCACTTGGTGATGTGGTGAGTCCCATAAATGCAGTACAAGCTGGTGTGGTGGCGAGCACAAGTATTGTCCCGCAACCACCAAGAATTTGCAACACAGGCCCATAGAGCCCCTAGTATCCTTCCGCCTGAGCTTGCAAATTCCGATTGGCAGCCCACAAATTCTGCAGCACCCCCGTACTTCCCTCATCCACTGCCCAACCCGGAATTCAGGTGGAAACAGCAAATTTAACTACTCCCCTTGATTTTTGGAGCTGTTTTTCACGGAAGATCTGTAAGCATTGATTGTGGATCAAAGCAATTTATATGCACAACAATTTATCGCCACCAACCCAAATTCAAACCTTGCCAGACCATTTGCATGGAAACCCATTATGGTTTCCGAATTTAAATTTTTTTGGACCTAACCCTCAACATGGGCATTACTAAAAAAAATTAATTGCGGTTGTATTGGTCCATAGACCCAATTCATCATATGTCCGTGTTCTCTGCTGCTATGGCCAGGCATAGATATGAGAGTATAGTGTATAGTGTGTTTTATGCATTTCAACAACAACGCACTCTGTCGTCCTCGGGGTGACCCTGAATTTGACTGGCTCCACAAAATTCAGCCCCTCGCAAATCACCTTAACCAAACATTTGCAGATGTCTATGCTCCCCAGCAAAACATATGCGTTGATGAGTCCCTCATAATTTTTTCTGGCCGCCTTGCATTCAAACAATTTCTCCTCAGCAAGCGTGCCAGATATTGGGTCAAGATGTAGAAGACCTGTGAGAGGGCAACAGGCTATACTTATAAGTTTCGGATTTATCAGGGAAAAGATAGCCACGTGGAGCCCCCCCGGATGCCCAGACTACATGGGGAGCAGTGGCAAGATAGTTTGGTACTTGGTGTCATCCTTTTTCCATATGGGGTACCACTTATACTTGGACAATTTTTATTCAATGTGCCACTATTTAGACATTTGTACAATCTTGGAACTGGCACATGTGGGACCTTACAACCTAATGTGTGCTCACCATATATTCTAATGGTGGGCATACCACACACTTTTGCTGGCAGAGATTTCTTCTATTTTTTTCATTCAGACCACAGGCTGCATACAAAAAAAAAAGAACATAGCATATATACCCAACAAGGATCAGTAATGTACTGGTACATCCCTAAACTTTGATTGGTTATACCAGGATGATGCCTACAGCTGCAGGCATCATCCTGGTATTATTTATTTTCAGCAGGCTTTCATGTAAAAGCAATCCTAGTGTCTAATTAGCTGCAGGATTGCTGTTACAAGCATTACAAGTTGATGCCCCCCTCCCCCCGCTGCCTTCCACGGCCTTCTCGGGCATCCCGTGCCATAGAGGGAACCTGAGAATGCAGCCGGTGTTTCTGCCACTGACCATAGAGCTGATTGGAGAATGGTGCCAATCATCTCTATAGTCTAAGAAATTGGAAGCTACGAGCATTTCATCACTTCAGTTTCGCAGGATATAAACAGTGTAATTTATAAATTGGGAAAGCATCTGATCACACCGATCTTGGTTTGCTTAGATAATGTAAGGGCAGAGAAGATATCTAGAGCCTGATAGACCCCAGATTTCTCAAAATAGAATATATGACAATGCCCATTAACGTTATAGGGGATATTTGCATTCCCTGTGATAGCATTAAAAGCGATAAAAAAAAATGAAAGGGACAGTGTAAAAATAATTAAAAACATCAAAGTAACTTAAAAAAAAAAAAAACACCCTCGCCCCAAGCGCACGCACACGTTGTCTATGGATATTAAAAACGTATGCAGTCTGTTGCCATTGCACGGGGCATGCGCAGTTTTAAATCATGTCATGTTTGGTATCTATTTACTCGGCATACCATCATCTTTTATAGTTTACCAAATAATTGGCCAACATATTGTGTTTTTTGTGCATTAAAAGTAAAAAATTTTTTTTTGTTTTTTTTTTAAATTTGATTTAAAAAATCGCTGCGTGAGTATTATGTGAAATAAAAAATTGTAGCACCCACCATTTTATTCACTAGGGTGTCTGCTTTAAAAAAAATCTATAATGCTTGGGGGTTTAAAATAATTTCCTAGAAAAAAATACATATTTTTTTCATGTGACCAAAAAGTGTCAGAAAAGGCTTGATCTTCTAGTGGTTAGAAGAGTGAATGATGTGTGGCATAAACTTCTAATGCTCGGCATAAAATGCCCCCACCCCCCCCCCAAAAACAATCCCTTTTTGGAAAGTAGACACCCCAAAATATTTGCTGAGAGGCATGTTGAATCAATAGAATAATTTATTTTTTACCACACGTTTTTGTAAAAATGACAAAAAAAAATTTTTTTTTTTACACAAAATTGTCACTTAAATGATTTACTGCTCACACATGCCATGAGTATATGTGGAATTACTCCCCAAAATACATTTTTCTACTTCTCCTGAGTATGGAGGTACCACTTTTTGGCAGTCTTTCCAAGTACAGGACCCCCAAAATCCAATAAGCACCTTCAGGCTTTTAAAGGGCTTTATTTCCTCATTACACTTCCTGACTACCTATCACAGTTTTCAGAGGCCCTGAAATGCCAGGATAGCACCAACCCCCCCCCCCCCCCTAAATGACCCCTTTTTGGAAAGTAGACACCCCAAGGAATTTGATAAGAAGCATGGTGAGTATTTTGCAGATATCATTTGTTGCCACACATTTTTGGATGAATGAAGAAAAAAAACAAAAACATAATTTTTCTTTTTTTTTTTATATTTCAAAATCAACCTTGTGAGAAAAGATTGAGATCTGCAAAATACTCACGATGCCTGTTTTTAAATTCCTTGGGGTGTCTACTTTCTAAAAGTAGATCATATGGGGGAGGGGGGGGGATTGATGCTATCCTGATTTCAGGGCCTCTGAAACTGTGATAGGTAGTGAGGAAGTGAAATGAGGAAGTTATGCAGCTTCAGTCTTTCAAAGTGGTCATTGGATTTCAGGCTCCTCTATATTGCTAGGCTCTCAAAACGTCTCACACATGTGGTATCCCCATACTTGCTAGAAGTAGCAGAATGTATTTTGGGGTGTAATTCCACATATACCCATGGATTGTTCGAGAAATAAATCATTTAAATGACAACTTTGTGTAAAAAAAAAAAATGTTTTTGTCATTTTCCAGAAACCTGTGAAAAAAAAAAAATCTTCTATGGACTCAATATGCCTCTCAGCAGATAGCTTAAGGTGTCTACTTTCGAAAAGGGGTAATTTGGGGGTGTTTGCACTGTCCTGGTATTTTAGCACTTCAAGAAATGTGATAAGCTGTCAGAACGTAAAAGCTGTGTAAATTCCATTATCTATACCATAGTTTGTAGACGCTATAACTTTCACACAAAGCTAATAATATACACTTATTGGATTTTTTAACCAAAAACATGTAGCAGAATACATTTTGGCCTAAATTTATGACAAAATTTAGTGTTTTTGGATATTTTTTTATGACCGAAATGAGAAAATATCGTTTTTTTTTTTTTTTTTAAAAAAAATTATTTTCTTCAAAACTTTTTTTGTTTATAGTGCCGAAAATAAAAAGCGCACAAGTGATCAAATACCACCAACAGAAAGCTCTATTTGTGTGAAAAAAAGGACATACATTTAATTTATGTACCATATTGCATGACCGCACAATTGGCCGTTAAACTAGTGCAGCACTGTATAGCAAAAAAAAATGGCATAAATTGCAGTATCTATACCATAGTTTGTAGATGCTATAACTTTCACACAAAGCAATCAATATACACTTATTGGGATTTATTTTACCAAAAACATGTAGCAGAATACATTTTGGCCTAAATTTATAACTAACTTTGAGTTTACTATATATTTTTATAGCCGGAAATAAAAAATATAGTTTTTTTTTCTTCAAAATTTTCGGTCTTTTTTTGTTTATAGCGTGCAAAATAAAAAGTGCACCGATGATCAAATACCACCAAAAGAAATCTCTATTTGTGCGAAAAAAAGGACGTAAATTTTGTTTGGGTACAGCATTGCATGATTGCGCAATTATCAGTTGAATTAGTGCAGTGCTGAGTAGCAAAAAGACGCCTGGTCATTAAGGGGGGTAAATCCTCTAGAGCAGGGGTCCTCAAACTTTTTAAACAGGGGGCCAGTTCACTGTTCCTCAGACCGTTGGAGGGCCGGACTATAGTTTTAAAAAAAAAACTATGGTCATCTCCTGTACTGTGTCCGCATCTGTTCAGAGACTGCGGACATACAACGGCGGGTGTCAGGGGGAATACTGGGCAGGCCGCTCTATAAGACGCACAGACATTTCCCCCCAAGTGTGTCTTATGGAGCGAAATAGTGTCCCATCATTGGTGTCAGTGGGAGGAATAGTGTCCCATCATTGGTGTCAGTGGGAGGAATAGTGCCCCACCATTGGTGTCAGTGGGAGGAATAGTGCCCCACCATTGGTGTCAGTGGGAAGAATAGTGCCACATCATTGGTGTCAGTGGGAGGAATAGTGCCCTATCACTGGTGTCAGTGGGAGGAATAGTGCCCCACCATTGGTGTCAGTGGGAGGAATAGTGTCCCATCATTGGTGTCAGTGGGAGGAATAGTGCCCCATCATTGGTGTCAGTGGGAGGAATAGTGCCCCATCATTGGTATCAGTGGGATGAAATAGTGCCCCATCATTGGTGTCAGTGGGAGGAATAGTGCCCCACCATTGGTATCAGTGGGAAGAATAGTGCCACATCATTGGTGTCAGTGGGAGGAATCATGCCCCATCATTGGTGTCATTGGGAGGAATAGTGCCCCATCATTGGTGTCAGTGTGAGGAATAGTGACCCATCATTGTTGTCAGTGGGAGGAATAGTACCCCATCATTGGTGTCAGTGGGAGGAATAGTACGTCATTGGTGCCAGTGGGGGGGGGGGTGTGGAATAGTGCCCCATCGTTGGTGTCAGTGGGGGGGAAGAATAGTGCCCCATCATTGGTGTCATTGGGAGGAATAGTGCCCCATCGTTGGTGTCAGTGGGGGGAGGAATAGTGCCCCATCGTTGGTGTCAGTGGGGGGAGGAATAGTGCCCCATCATTGGTGTCAGTGTGAGGAATAGTGTCCCCATCATTGGTGTCAGTGGGAGGAATAGTGTCCCATCATTGGTGTCAGTGGGAGGAATAGTACGTCATTGGTGCCAGTGGGGGGGGGGGGGGTGGAATAGTGCCCAATCATTGGTGTCAGTGGGGAGAGGAATAGTGCCCCATCATTGGTGTCAGTG